TAAGACAGACATTTCTTGTTTCCTTCCAGCTGTATCTTAGCATCGTGACATCTGTTTCCATGTATAAAAAGAACTATCACGCTTTGGGAAAGAACAGAGAGCATTGAGATTCATATTGTCAAAAGCATGTGGACTCTTTTGAGATCATCCTGGCTTCTACTTCAGTTAGGGCTGCTTTTCATCTGGATGATCAGTTTGGGCCTTTTTGGGAAAACTCCTTGCTCTTTCTAAATCCTCATACCTCTCCCGTAAAACAGCTTTCAGCATATTTCCAGGAGCTCGATAACGTTTGCATAATTTACTGTATTGGTTAGTAGCCAACTGTATCATAGAGAGAGCTCTCAAACGTGGAAAATCTAACTTAACACGCCATGGCAGGAGAAACAAAAACGGAGCGTAGGTGGGCTTACACGTGCAGGGAGGAGCACGGCAGATTCCAGGGGAATCATGGAGAGATCCGCATTCTGATGGAGAGCAAGTCCGTTTGGCCTAGCACATTTCCATGCTCTTTTACATCCTTTTCAGAGCACCTGGAATGGGTTGGGGAAGCACCGAACAGGGGCATGGTGTATACAAGGTCTCAGTCTGAATCCTTAAATCAAAAATAAGCAACAAGTATAGGAGGAAGACGGAATGGCAGAAGTTATGCACAGACTCAGGCGGTTAACATTCTTGGTCAAGAAGGTCCCTTCCAGCTCTGTTCTCGTTTTCAATGGGAAGAGCTTCCTTGAATCTCCTCCTGTTCCCCCTCTCTAGATCTTGCTAAGACAGGCGGTATCAAGGATAGAAGGTAGCAAGGCGGGACCTCCGAAGGCTTGTGTGTGTCTGGGAGAGTGTCATCGGGGCGATGACAAAGTACCCGGTTATTTTGGCTGTAGCTGACCTCTCCCTTGGGTTCCCCTGTGCCTGGTTGGGTGGGCCGAGCTGAAGGAATTGAGACTGAATCAAGTGGCTGTCGGGTGGATAAACCCAGCCTTCACCTGCTCCATGAGAACTGGTCAACCCACTGGTCAAAACCAGGATTTCCACGTTCCTTGAGGGCTGGCTCCATGCTTTGCACGGTGAAGCCCCCATTGCCTAGCCCACTGCAAGTGCTCGCCAGGCGTTTCTCAATGAATGAATGGATGAGTGAATGACTGTTTCGGGAGCCCCTACTCTGAGAACCCTTTGGTGAACCAGTTCGACAAGGATTTTGCTTCTGCGGCATTTGCATTCTCGAGTTAAAGGAATGAACGTAAATACAAGAATCCCTCAGAAATGAATCTCCTGGGTGGAGATGGCCTCACGCCTTTCCGAAGGCGCTAACTTGGAGACAAAAGCGCCACGGCTGGTCCCAGAGCGTGGAGGTCAGGAAAGGGGGCTATTACAGACGTCACGTGTACATATCAAGTACCCCGTTTTAAGTTAGAGTCTATGTTTATTTTATTTTATTTTTTTCCAATTACAGTTGACATTCAAAGAACCTATGTTTATTAGTGATGACCGGGAGATGGAAACTGTTTAAGCAGTAGAGGTGGGAGGTTGCTTCATAAAACTTCAACACTACCAGAAAAAACGGACTCGGGGAAAGCTGGTCGGGTTCCTGTGAGGACAAATTATGACAAAGAATATGAGAAGGTCCCTAGCACGGTGCCAACACGCAATAGGAATCCAACAAATAAACCCTCGAAATATATCCAAAGTCTCATTTTCTCTCCAGTTCCGCAGCTGCCCCCTGGTCCACCCACTGCCATCTCTTGCAACATCATCGTAACGGGTCTCCCTCCTGGCACTTTTGTTCCCCCCAGACTATTTTCAGCTCGGCAGCCAGAGGCAGCCACGTTTTAATAACTGTGGGCACCGTCCCTCTTCTGCTCAAAACCTTCCAACGGTCTCAACCCACCCAAGGTGAAAGCCGGTCTTCAGTGGTCGCCAGGACCCCCCAATGCTGTCACCGCTTCCTTTAAGTCAAAGACACTGGCGTCCTTGGGTAGTCGTCTAACCACACCCGACACTCTCCTGCCTCCGGGCCTTCGCACCGGCTGTTCCCTCTGCTTGCAAACTCGTTCCTCACATACTGAAGAGCTCATGTCACCTTCTTCAAGTCATTGGTAGAAGTCACCTTTTCGATGGGACTTTCCCTGATGACCCTATTTAAATGAAAACATTCCTCCATGTCACCTACTCTTCCTCTGGTTTATTTCCTTCGATGGCACTTAGTACTTTTTATCATACAAATAATATCACACGTGTCACTCTACTGTGTATGTTACATACTCGCCGGGAAACAGCGTATGTCACCCTGTGCATTACACTATGCTTGATACGTGCATGATGTATGTATTCGTTCACAGCCTCCTGGCTTCCCCACGCCTGCCTCTCTCCCTTTACCTTCTGCTGACCGGGCAGGACTTTTGCTTTGTCCACTGCTGTTTCTGCAAAGCCCCGCATAGTGCAGGGTACCCAGGAGGCACTCAGTAAATACCTGCGGTTAGAACAAATCAGAGAGAATGAACACCTGTCCGAGCCGGCGGCCTCGGACTCCCGGTTCCCGGCGCCGCTTTAACCCCTGCGAGCTCCAGGTGACAGCGCGGCGCCCA